TTCTAATTTTGTTGTAGAGAGAGTATAAGCAATAATAGGAAGGAACAAGGGTTTTTGCTGGTTGAGATAAGGATAGCTATACAGGGCATTGACTCACATTGATTTCCTGTGCGTGTGTGTTACATTCTAGGTTAATTCTTTTTGATCTAACCTTTTCTCTAGTTCCTGGTCCCCTTTTCCTATTGGCCTCAGTTGCTTTTAAGGTATCTGCTTTAGTTTCTCTGTGTTAAGGGCAACAAATGCTAGCTAGTTTTTTAGGTGTCTTACCTATCCTCACCCCTTCCTTGTGTGCTTTCGCTTTTATCATGTGCTCAAAGTCCAATCCCCTTGTTGTGTTTGCCCTTGATCTAATGTCCACATATGAGGGAGAACATACGATTTTTGGTCTTTTGGGCCAGGCTAACCTCACTCAGAATGATGTTCTCCAATTCCATCCATTTACCAGCGAATGATAACATTTCGTTCTTCTTCATGGCTGCATAAAATTCCATTGTGTATAGATACCACATTTTCTTAATCCATTTGTCAGTAGTGGGGCATCTTGGCTGTTTCCATAATTTGGCTATTGTGCATAGTGCTGCAATAAACATGGGTGCGCAGGTGCCTCTGGAGTAACCTGTGTCACAGTCTTTTGGGTATATCCCCAAGAGACACAGTGCATTTTTAATGTCTGTGCAATGTTTCATCAAGCAATACTATCAAATTTATTTAATCAAACCTTGTTAGATATTCAAATTATTTCTAAGTTACATTATGATGGTCACTCTTATTTATATGGATTTCCCCTCTAATTTTTCAATTTTTCTTTGCCTAAGTTCTATGAAACAGATCCATCAGGCCAAACTGTTGGCTGATTTCATTCTTTTGACGTATATATTCCTATGTTTGCCAAACTGTTTTTCTAAAAGAATTTTGTTTATTTGTACTTTAATCAATAGTGATACACACTTTTAACATTCAGGTTCTGAAAATGCTCACCATCTCTAGCAATAAAGGAAATGAAAATTAAAACCACGCTAAGATTCCACCTCACCCCTGTTAGAATAGCCATCATCAGCAACACCACCAACAATAGGTGTTGGCGAGGATGTGGGGAAAAAGGAACCCTCTTACACTGTTGGTGGGAATGTAGACTGGTACAACCACTCTGGAAAAAAATTTGGAGGCTACTTAAAAAGCTAGACATCGATGTACCATTTGATCCAGTAATACCACTCTTGGGGATATACCCAAAAGACTGTTACTCCAGAGGCACCTGCACGCCCATGTTTATTGCGGCACTATTCACAATAGCCAAGTTATGGAACCAGCCAAGATGCCCCACCACTGACGAATGGATTAAGAAAATGTGGTATCTATACACAATGGAATTCTATGCAGCCATGAAGAAGAACGAAATGTTATCATTCGCTGGTAAATGGATGGAATTGGAGAACATCATTCTGAGTGAGGTTAGCCTGGCCCAAAAGACCAAAAATCGTATGTTCTCCCTCATATGTGGACATTAGATCAAGGGCAAACACAACAAGGGGATTGGACTTGAGCACATGATAAAAGCGAGAGCACACAAGGGAGGGGTGAGGATAGGTAAGACACCTAAAAAACTAGCTAGCATTTGTTGCCCTCAATGCAGAGAAACTAAAGCAGATACCTTAAAGCAACTGAGGCCAATAGGAAAAGGGGACCAGGAACTAGAGAAAAGGTTAGATCAAAAAGAATTAACCTAGAAGGTAGCACCCACGCACAGGAAATCAATGTGAGTCAATGCCCTGTATAGCTATCCTTATCTCAACCAGCAAAAACCCTTGTTCCTTCCTATTATTGCTTATACTCTCTCTACAACAAAATTAGAAATAAGGGCAAAATAGTTTCTTCTGGGTATTGAGGGGGTTGGGGGGAGATGGAGGGGGCGGAGTGGGTGGTAAGGAAGGGGGTGGGGGCGGGGGGAGAAATGACCCAAGCCTTGTATGCACATATGAATAATAAAAGAAAAAGGAAAAAAAAATTCAGGTTCTGGGATCTATTATTTTAAAGTGGTAATTTAAGATACAAAATGATGTCACATTATTCTATTCTCTCTCTCCTTCCTTTCCCCCCTACTCTCTCTCACTGTCTCCTTTCTTCTTTTTAATCTCCTGTGAGGTGGGAGATTTTTCTTCCTGATATCAACAAACGGTTACCACAGTCAATGCCCTAATGTGGTTTTCCGGAGGTTCCTGGTGCCCAACAGACGCCTCTCTGCAGGGTGTTAGTGTGTGGGAACCTAGAAGCCAGACTCTCATTCCTACCAGGAGACCCTGGGGCCCCAGGGCCTCTTTATGTGAGAAAAAGTAACTACTAGCTTTCACATCTGGCAAATGAGGGGGTGTCACCCTAAAGTCCTTGTCTAGCTTCATGTCCTAAAAGTCTACTATCTGATTACATGATCTTGGTCAGGAGGGAGTCCGTTGTATCTTTTCTTTGGCACTTTTTGGAATATCTGTACCTTTTCCTGCCCTGAATCATCTTCTTGATAGCAACCTAGAAGGATGAAGAGCTGTTGGTGTGCCATGGTTCCCTAGGGAACCATCCTACAGGCAGTCTCTCTCTCTCTCTCTCTTTTGTAATTTTTTTATTAAGATGTATTTGCTGTGGGGGGACTCATAGTGACAGTTCCAATTTGGCTTATATTGTACATTAGTTACATTGTATAGTCAGTCTCTTTCATGGTCTCTTTCTATGACTGCAGAGAATCCTAAACCTGCTTCCACTTAAATATTCACTTAATAATTCAAGTTAGCTTTACCTTTGTGGTAAAGCTTTGTTATCTGCTTGGCCAAATGGGTGGGCTTATGACCTTCTGGGCAAGCAGGTTTGTAATGGGAATACCCTGGTGCCCAACTTGTTCATGAGCCGAATCCGCAAGTGACCAAGGACCTTATCACGAGGCGGGGGGCACTAGGAAAGTATGCTGATAAGGATGAGGCAGATTGAAAAGGTGGCTATGACCAAGTTATGGAAACAGCCAAGATGCCCCACCACTGGCAAATGGATTAAGAAAATGTGGTATCTATACACAATGGAATTTTATGCAGCCATGAAGAAGAATGAAATGTCATCATTCGCTGGTAAATGGATGGAATTGGAGAACATCATTCTGAGTGAGGTTAGCCTGGCCCAAAAGACCAAAAATCGTATGTTCTCCCTCATATGTGGACATTAGATCAAGGGCAAACACAACAAGGGGATTGGACTATGAGCACATGATAAAAGCGAAAGCACACAAGGGAGGGGTGAGGATAGGTAAGACACCTAAAAAACTAGCTAGCATTTGTTGCCCTTAACGCAGAGAAACTAAAGCAGATACCTTAAAGCAACTGAGGCCAATAGGAAAAGGGGACCAGGAACTAGAGAAAAGGTTAGATCAAAAAGAATTAACCTAGAAGGTAACACCCATGCACAGGAAATCAATGTGAGTCAATGCCCTGTATAGCTATCCTTATCTCAACCAGCAAAAACCCTTGTTCCTTCCTATTATTGCTTATACTCTCTCTACAACAAAATTAGAAATAAGGGCAAAATAGGTTCTTCTGGGTATTGAGGGGGTTGGGGGGAGAGGGAGGGGGTGGAGTGGGTGGTAAGGGAGGGGGTGGGGGCAGGGGGGAGAAATGACCCAAGCCTTGTATGCACATATGAATAATAAAATTAAAAAAGAAAAGGTGGCTATGAGACCATCTACCTAGGCCCTGAAGTCCTGGTTGCTACAGCTCTCTTTAATTCTATGTCCCACTTCAATATCCTTCTCAGCAATATAATCCAATAAATTCCCTTTTATGAATGAAACTGGTTTAATGTGGACTCTCTAGCAGCTTGTAAGTAATCCTCATTAATGTGTCAGCTGTGAGTGCTTTCCCTATTCATTCCTAACTGGGGTCCTCCCAGATGCATATCTACTTTTTTGTACTTCACTTTTAATTTTGAAATTATATTACAGATTCAGTTGCAAAAAATACAGAGGTCCTCTGTATTTCTCATAGGGATTATCTCAATAGTGGCATGTTATATTTATAGTTCAGTATCAAAGCCAGGTAGCTGACACCACTCCTCATTTTTTAAACAATGTCTGGCTGTATGTCCATTGGGGTAGTTTAGAGCCTGACTGCTGTGCTCAGGAAACTACAGCCTAATAGAGAAGTGTAGAACAATTATGTTCAGGTATTATGACTGTTAAATCTGAGCAGGTTTAGGGCACATCCATCACTCAGCACCTTCTACGTCCCAGTACACCAGGCACTTGGCAATTGTTAATTCCTAAATATCACGACAGTGCTGTAACAACACTATTAGTGTCATCATTCCTTTGGACAGGAGAAGGAAACTGAGGCACAGAGAGTTTAAGCAACTTACGTAAGGTCACAGAGTTGTTAGGAAGCAGAGCTAGAGTTTAAACACACACAGCCTTGTACTCATAGCCCTTCTGTGTAAGCATTATACAATAGGACTAACAGCAATGCTGGTAGAACACCTTTTCCTAAGCTTTCCTAGAACTCTTTTCAACATCCTGCTCTTCCACACCTTCTCCTTCCTCCTTCTCCCCATCCTCCTCCTCTCTCTTTTCCTGGAGTTACACACTTTATCAGCTGCAGACATATTTGTGGACTATTCAGCTGTGCTCTGACAGGAGCTGGCATTCCTTGGTATACCCTTTAGAAGAGTTACTTCCTCCAAGCAGCAGGCAGGAACAGGGGGGCAGCCCAGGTCCCTGAAGGTAGAGATCTGGTGTTCTGGCCTCACTCTCCGGGGGTTGCTTCTTGGTGGTTTAGTGCTAAACAAACAGCCACCACCACCATTAACAACAACAACAAAAACAACAAATTAACCAAACCCACCAAGACACCAGGAGAAGTCTTGCACATTAGAGGAACATGTTTAATTGTCAGCTCATGGTTTCAATTCCAGCCCCATGGTATTGTAATGGTGATGGCAGTGATGGTAGTGGAGGTAGTAGTGCCCACAGTGCCTCACTCTGGAGGTGGACAGGGAGGTGGGCACTCCGGAGGGCATGGTGGAGGGCATGGGGGGCATGGTGGGGAGCACAGTGGAGGTGGAGGGCATGGGGGGCATTTTGGTGGTGGGCATGGTGGAGGGCATGGGGGGCATTTTGGTGGTGGTGGACACTTTTCCCATGGACACTTGTCAGTGCAGCGTTGTAGCAGCTTCTTTAAACAGCTGGGCTGGCATTTGGACTCACACTTTTGTTCACACCTGGGATCACAGCATTGAGGTTCATTGTTGGGGTCATTCTTGGGGCTAGGCTTATTCTTATCTTTACTTGACATTGTTTCTTGGTTATGTAGGCCCTGAAAAGAAATATGATGTAGGCTGTTGGTAGGAGAGGATTTGGATGACTTTTTTTACACCTTGTGCTCACTCTTGCTTTTAAGAAGACTCCCTACATGTGTTCATATTCTAGAACTCATTTAAGAATTGTCCTCATTCTTGTTGTGGTTTTGTGGTAGCATGCTTTGATCACTTTTTCTCTGATTGCTTTTCTCTTATCCTTGTTTCTACTCTATAGGCTCTAGTGGGAGTTATTAAACTTGGGTCCTGGGATCCCCCCACTCAAACCATAAGAACTTATTTTATTATAATTGGTATCTTCTGTAACCTGATGTGCTTTATATACTTCATTTAAAGCATTGTTTCAAGGAGTTCATAAGTTTGACCATGCTGCTGAAGATATCCCGAGCACAGCAAAGGTTTAAAAGAATTCTCATAAAGCCACATCCCCATCCCTTTGGGGAGAAGTGGAAAGCATATTAGTGGTCTTTGGAATTGCAGATGTGTCCTACTTAAGCCAACCCAAATCTTGAAATTGCTTTCTTCTTTGGAGGACTAAATCAGGGTAGGTAACTGAATTCCTGCTGTGACTGGTTTCCATGTACCATTCTAGAACTGCCTCCTCCCTTTTTCCATCCAGGTTCTGCAGAGCAACTAAGATAAGGGAAGAAATCAAGAGAGGAAATTAACTGGGAATCTCAAAATTTTCTAAAGTATAAATGTTAAAAATATGAATGTTAGAACCTCAAAGTATGACTTTCAGAAGGAAATTCCTTTTCTCCTATGTTGAGTTTTCTCTGTGATAGGTATTTCTCTGTGGAAAATAATCTTTTCCTTTTCAGTCTTCAACAATACTTCAAGTCTGATTTAATTGGAACACTATTAATTTCCATTAACAGTATGAAAATAAAATTTTACATAATTGAGTTTTAAAATCAGTATGGCTCTCTGGGAAGGCAGATCATTAAATTAGAACTCTAAAACTGTGAACATTCTGTATTCCATGGTGAATTGTACCCTACTTCTTGCTAACAAAAATGACAGGAAACTTTCACCAAACACAGCCTTCCTGGTCCTGCTCAGTGTCTGGGGTGCTGCAGGCCAGTCCCAGGACAGGAGAGGCACAAGTGCAGCCATTTCCAATTGTCCAGATATAACTCACCCCTTTGGGTTGTGGTGAATTTGACAAGTAGTCAAATGAAAGTTGATGTTAATGCTGTGTTGGAAAAGGTGTGCTCTCCCTCCGGTTCCTCTGCCCAGCTGTGTGGAAGCTGGAGGTAGGCATGAGTGTGTTCGATTGTGATGTCATGACAGCATCATGACTCGCAATTGTTGAGTGACTTCTGGGCTCCCAACTCAATTCAAGCTCTTGATATAAGGGATAGAGCCATGCTTATTTTCCTTCTTGATTCTCCCATCTCCTTCTGGCCTCTCAAAATGGATACTGGCAAAACAAGACTACAGTGAAGACTCCTGAGCTCTAGAGACAGTAGGATCAGATTGGTAGGAGCAGCTTAGCTGGCTTACTATTTACCCAAGGTCTCATTTCCTCCAAGTCTCCTAAAGTTTTAACTCCTCTGAACTTGCCCCTTCTCTTTTGAAGAAGCTTTTGGAAAGCTCTTTTGGATCCATCACAGCCATTCTATTTCTCCTTTTCTCTGTATTTTTCCTAATATGAGATTCTGAAACCTCCCTTTCATCCCACACTCCCTGGCCTGTGTCCAAAGATTATTTTAGAACATTTTCTCAATGTTCCTGAACAAATTCACTTTTTGGGTGTGTGTGTGTAGGGGAGTTATGCAATTGTTTGTTAGTCAGGTAGTATCCACCCCCCACTTTGATATCCAAGGTAAATATTCTATATTGTAAAGAAAGCGAGTCTGATGCTCTTGCGCATTCCTGACCAATTGAGTAAACCCCAGTTTCTGCCACAGAGCCAAAAGGTTTGCCACTCAAAGGTCCTTCCTGGTCTTGTCAAAGACCATGCAAGGGGTATTTGTGGTTGGATAAGGGTAAATATGAGAGGTTACTGTGGGAAAGACAAGTGGGGCACAGACACAGTGCCTGAACTCATTATTTTATTTTTATTATTCACTTATTCACATGTGCATACATTGTTTGGATCATTTCTCCCCCTGCCCCCATCCCCACCCTCTCCCTCCCTCCCCCCTCCCTTCCAGGAAGAACCTGTTCTGCGCTTTTCTCCAGTTCTGTTGAAGAGTAGAAATAAGCAATAATAAGAAAGACATAGCATTTTTGCTAGTTGAGATAAGTACAGCTATACAGAGAGATTCCTAGCATTGCTTTCATGTACAAATGTGTTACAACCCAGGTTGATTCATCTCTAACTGTTCTTTACACTGGTTCCTAATCCCCTTCTTGTGTTTGATTAAAATTATCTGATCATCTCTAAGCCATTGAAATTCTGATAGTAGGGTATGGAATGGATTAAGAAATAAGGGTGGTAGAGTAAAAATAGAATCAATCTATTTCCAGGAAATTAGAAAAATCTTCTGAAGGAAGGCAATGGTGGTGGAGGCAGAGGATGTCAATGACAGAAACATCGTCAGGCAAATTTGTAGGGCTTGGTTACTGAGTCTGTTGAAAATTAAGAAGAAAGAATTGAAGGTGATTCAGGCTGAAAGATGGTAGGGTTACTATTAGTGGAAGCCAAAGAAACAGAACAGGTTTATGTTAAAGAAATAGGTGTCTGAGAAAGTTGTGTGTGGTTACAGTGGCACATCTTGAGAGATTATTAGAAATGTGACTTTGTATTTTGTGCCACTGAGCAAATCTGAGATCCTGAGTTTATTTTAGTCCAGTGGTATTTATTGAGTGGATGAGCATGAACTGGTCTGGAGAGTGGATTGGTAGAAATTAAAGAAAATGAATTGGGATGATGGAGACTCTTAATATAGGATTTACTTAGAATTCACAAAGAATAAAGAATGCCATATACAGCTAAAACCCAAATGAACGTGAATGAAAGGGGGAGGTGGGATATAATTTAAATCCCTGGAGTAACTAATAGAGCTGTAGTTAGTATTAGAGCCATAGTTCTGGTGCAGACCACTCCATTTTCATTCCTCTAATTTCATTCTGGAGCTCTGTCTCCCACTACTGTTACCATATCCATTTTAAGAGACGCAGCTCCACCTGCTGTTTAGCTCTGGACCTAAGCCACCAATCTGGATATGGAGAAAGCAGTCATTTGTGACAGCAGTGTTAAAAGATGTGGTGATTTCTCCTACGTGTTGTTATCTTCCTTTCTCTCTGCTTTCCTCCCTCCCTTTTTTCTTGCTAAAGAGGTTCCCACTGAATAATAGTATAGCACATACTTGACTTTCAACAAAACATAGTTTGTCTATCACCTTGTCACCTTCCTCTCTAAAGACCAACATTATTAGTGGTGGTAAATTTAGTAATCTTAGGGTTTGGTGGACAGTGGGCTGACAGCAAAAAGCCACTGAAAGGAAGCACAGAACAGCCTTCTTAGGCTGCTGTGTCTCAACAGAGATGCTGCAAGAAGAGATGAGTGAGTACTTCAGCCTGGTCCAGATTAGGAAGGACCATTGAATCAAATTCTTGTGTTCAAACCCTGCTTTCATTCTTCATTCACTAATACCCTCTAGTGATTTGCAACCATTCTAAGTAGTAATTCTCTCATCTATAAAATGATGTAATAGTAGCACTTGTTTTAGGATAGTATATAACCTACCGTGAGTGCTTATGCCAGAGACATTTCCCAGGGCAAAACCTATACCTTCACCCATTGCATTGCCTCACTGTGCTGAGGGTTGTTGAAAGGTTAGAGATATTGTGTATGAAGAGACCCAAATCAATGCTCGCTCTGCATGTTATTATTTTTGTCAGGGCTGACCTGACTTCTGCACCCTTGGCTCGCTGGATCTCTCTCAGGGTTTATTTCCATTTCTCAAGTTCTGATCTTAGCCTTGAAATCTTAGTTCTCCAACACAATATTTTCCTTAGACTTCTTCTCCATATCATTGTTTTCTGCCTTCTATCTAAAGCTAGTGGTGTTCATGACAAAATTAGGTATTTCAATATTAAAAAAGAGTGATTTCACTCTGATTAGAGAGGTTGATACACATGTTGTTGATAGAAGACAGTAATTTAAACATTAAGGCAAAAAAACCCATTAGACTATTCAGTGGTACCTTTGTGTATACTTGAGGACCCTGTGTATCTGTATATGTTAGCAGGTGAGGGAGATTCTAAGTATTGGAAATTTCAACTAGGATTTCCCACTGAGTTTTATGATGAAGTCTTTGTCTTTTTTCTTTCTTTCTATGTTTCTAAATTTTGCTGAACAAGCAGGACTTTAGAGTCAGAGAAAAGTTCTATTTCTTCTGATGCTTCTTAAAAGCCTGTCTTAGGGATCCCTTTTTCCTTTCATCTGGGGTGAAATCTCCAGCACATGCCATTGACATTTGGGACATGCTAACAAATAAGAAGTATTCTGGTCACTTTCTGTTACACAATTTCATTCACTAGTCAGAAGTTTGAGTACCTGAATGTTGTATTTCCCTTTCTTTCCTACCTGGAACTGCTGTAGGCAGGAAGCTTCCATGGGAGAGGAGACCATCTTCCTTGTTTGTTGCTTGGGGTTTCTAGTCCTTCTCCCTTGTTCATACAGCTGTCCTTTGAGGTTGGGCCTGGAAAGAGAGAAGATAGAGAGAGAATAGAAGAGAAGAGAATAGAAGAGAAGAGAAGAGAAGAGAAGAGAAGAGAAGAGAAGAGAAGAGAAGAGAGAGGACCCTCGTTCTTTCATGCTTCCTCCTCTGCCTTGCAGGAGTTTTGATCACAGTTCTTTGACATGGGCAACCATATCTTTTATTTAGCTGCTGTGGCTCATGCAGTACCTGCACATATAACAGGTTCTTCACCAGTTTCTCTCGGCCAGAATTGCCTCATCTCCAAGGGAGCTCTTGGACATATTTTGTTTGCACAGCCTGAGTAGCTAACTTTGTCTCTTCAA